TTCTATCGGTATTATTCTCATTTTCTTTTCATTCATTATCATAATAAAACTAATCTTTATACTCTTTAGGGTATACAAAACATAAGTGAAAGTATAAGCTAATAATGATAATAACGATACTTGTGCTCATCGTCATAGTAGAATAAGGTGAATTTAGATATAACTTTCCAATTGAAATAAATTGATAGTGATTAATTTAATGTGTTGGTATTACGTGTTATAGATTAGGTCCTCACTTACTGACTTACTTACTTACTTACTTACGTCTGTTGCCCTCGTGAAGGAGCATGCGCCTAACACCCTAACCATGTCCTGGGCTATTCTTTCCAGTTGGTTCTAGTTGCTATTCATTCGTTTCATATTTGCTTATAATTCTCGACATAGTGTGTTCCTTGGTCTTCTAATTTTCCGTTTCCTTTCAGGATTCCAAATTAGTGTTTGCTTCGTGAAGCAGTTTAATGATTTCTTTAATGTATGTTCCACCCACCTTTTCTAACGTCGTTTCCTAATTGATTTATCCACCCTCACATTTAAGTGTTACTGATGGTTTCCGGCCAATAGACATAGAATCCTTTTTGAATAAACTATCATAATCAGGTCAAAAGTAAAGTTTTGGAAAGAAAAAATAAACTATGACTAATGGAGTTCAGATATGTTGAAAGTAAAATGGTTGTTATAGAATAGACAATTCCCCCATATATCAGAAGTTTATTAATGTTGTAATTACATTATCACATAATTGATCAGTATTCTCAATGGTTATATAAACACAAAGGTTTAGGGTCTAGTCATTGATTATGTCATAGATGTGTACTGTTAAGAAGTCTTTCATTATGACAAAATATCCTTACAGTACTTCATAGTTCTAAGAGGTACTTCATCCTCTGATGAACAAAACCTACAGTTGAAATTATACCTGAAAAAAAAGTGATTTTTGCAAAAAATAGACAAACATTGTAGGATAGAATAACTCAGATCAAAATCGGTACTGTTAGGGTATTACAAAAATCTCATCAATAATACACGGGGTATATATATATATATATATATATATATATATATATATATATATTTTCAACATTTTATTTAAGATGGTGGTTGGAGGTAGTCAACAGGAAACCTTGGACCCGGGTTTCGTGCTATTTGGCACTCGTCGGCAAGGTTTACCAGCAATCTTGAGGGAACTGATGCTCCCTGACTGATTCGATCCCGTGTCACCTAGCTTCATAGTCGGAGATGTTATCACTGGGCTATCCGGGCCATGACCGACCTCCTGTAGCACTAAGATGTATTCACAATTGATTGATCACTGGGTGGTGATCAATATCATGTGTGTCAAGTCCCTTTTTAGTGCAGATCGAATACTATCGACCATGTTGAAATGTGGCCACCAGTTTTACTTAAAATATTAATTTAGGGTTTCTTGTTGACTACCTCCAACCATCATCTTATCTCAACATAGTGCACGCAATTTTGAGTCACCTAGACTAGTGGCCACATTACAACTTTTTCGACAACATTCGATCTGCACTAAAGAACGACTTGACACACGTGACATTGATCACCATCTAGTGATCAATCAATTGTGAACATTTTATTTAGTATGATCATGGCAACTATCAACTAAACTCTTTCACTGAAGAAACTTTTCGTTTCAATGACATTATTTACTTAAGCAGTACATTTGTATGTATAATTGTATGATAAATATATGTCTATAGAAAGATAGGAAAGACTATGTAATAAAGGGATTCAATACTTTAAATATCAAATAAGGTTATACGATAATCAGGGTGGTGGCGGTGGTAATGACTCTGGTGGTGGGGTTAGAGAAGAATTGAAGAATCAAAATCATTTATTGGGTCAAAATTATGAAAGATAATTGTCCACTTGACAGATATGAAGAGAAATGAAAAATAACATAAAGGTCATTATAATAAATGAGTGTTAATCATGAATAAAAAATTTGTTAAAGGATAATAATCAGAAGGGGTATTGTGGAGATTTTAGTCATTTCAATAGTAGAAATCATGAGACAATTGAAGTTAGACCACCACTATTGAAATTTCTAAAATTCTCTACAAAACTCCTTCTGATAATACTCATCATCTGCTCACTAGTGACTGACTTAAAGGGGCATTTCCTGCAGTTCTAGTGAGAAGCCGTTACCAGTGGAGTTCAACCAGGTCTGTTGTGAGATATCAACTCACTGAAGACAATGGATTGGTTGATGTTAAACGTTAACACCGTTGGATGCCGGTCAGCTTAGTGGTTTAATGGTTAAGTGCTCGTGCACGAGACTGATATGTCCCGAGTTCGGATCTTGTGGGGGCGGGATCATGAATGTGCTCTGCTGAGGAATCCTGTACTAGGACGTGATGGCCATCCAGTGCTTCCAGGTTTTCCATAGCGGTCTAGCTTCGATTGACTCATGATTTCAACTATTAAAGGATAATAATAACTGATTACAGTTTGAAATCATAAAAACAAGACCAAAGCACCAAACAGAAGCAGGTAATGTTGAGTGTATCGTATTTGCGCTCAGAGTTCAGACTTGAATAGGTAGATCGCCAACGACTCAATAGTGCATAAGTATTTGATTCGATTTCCCTTCGATTCAGTACATTTGATTGTGTAGATTATCTTGAAGGAAGACACCTTTAGAGTAACGTCTCTAAAAATTGTTTAAGTACTCCTATATCGAACTAGTGACTGATTTATATTCTCCTTTTAAAAGTCACGTCAGCTAATGTTCTGAGATGTGTTTAGAAAATGATCGTTTCGTGCCTCACAAGAACAAGTAAATTGATAGATGATCATTAAATTCATTAAATTCACTTTTGTTTATTTCAATGACACAATGGCAGTTTAGTGCTTCTAGGTTTTCCATAGAGATCTAGCTTTAATTGACTCATAAATTCAACTATTAAATTTCAAATTATTTTGTTCAAATCTTTATTGATACTCGCAGGTTTACCTCTGAGATTTCTAAGGATGGTGGTCCAGTATTAGTAGTGAGATTTACTGAGGTCTAAGGTAGAATCTGGGAAATGGACTGGTCTCAATCATTAATTGTGCCAGACAGGAGAGAGGTTCTTTTGTGACAACCACAGAGGAATCAGTTAACTAATATATTGTATCTAAAATATTAGCTTCAATGATATTTCGACGCCTAACCAAAGCTCGTGAAATACAGACTAGAGAAAACTAGGCTGGTTTTCGACCTGGACGTGGTTGTATAGATCAGATATTCACACTACGTCAGGTCCTAGAAAATAGACACACATTCAGACGCCCCACAGTGGTAGTATTTCTCGACCTTAAGGCGGCATTTGACTCTGTTGATCGTGAGGTTCTATGGCAGTGTTTGTCACTGAAAGGAGTACCAAAGAAGTACATTAACCTTATGAAGGCTCTCTACTCGAACACAACAGGCCGAGCGAGAGCTTATGGTGAACTGTCATCAGAACTGATTACCTCAAGTGGTGTTTGTCAGGGCTGTCCACTCTCTCCATTCTTGTTTAACTTTGTCGTTGACGTGCTTTTAGAAATAACAATTTCCTCATCTAAATTTCCAAGGGTTGAACTTCTACCGAGAGATTCACTTGTTGACTTAGAATATGCCGATGACATAGTTCTATTTGGTGAAGACGCTGACAAAATACAGAGTCTGCTGACCACTCTAAGCAACAATGCAGGCATGTTCGGCACGCGATTTTCTACCTCGAAATGTGAAATATTGCTTCAGGATTGGGTTGCATAGACACCTAAACTAATGATAGGGAGTGAAGTTGTTGAGCGTGTCGACCTCTTCACTTATCTTGGAAGTCTCATCAGCCCTTGTGGTATGGTATATGATGAAATTTCAGCATGGATACAGAAGGCTCGACTAGCTTTTGCCAACTTGCGTCATTTGTGGCGTAGTCGAGATATCCGTCTAGTAACCAAAGGACGTCTTTATTGCGTAGCAGTTCGTTCCGTCCTACTTTATAGTAGTGAACCATGGCCGGTAAGAGTAGAGGATATTCGTAGGTTACTAGTATTTGATTATAGGTGTCTTCGAAACATTGCTCGTATATCCTGGGACCACCGAGTAAGTAACTCAGTTGTTAGAAAACGGGTACTAGGTAAGGATGGCATATCGATTGACGAAGTAGTGAAACTTCATCAGTTGAGATGGCTGGGACATGTGTTGCGCATGCCAGACCACCGACTGCCACGACGTGCGATGTTTTGTGGTGTAGGAATAGGTTGGAAGAAAGCTAGGGGCGGCCAGACCAAAACATGGCACAAATCCATGAAGTCACTGACATGTGGACTGAGCCATGTTGGTAGATGTAGACTACCTGGTTGGGGACCGCGAGATGATAGCAACCGATGGTTAGAGACCTTGAATGACATGGCTGAAAATCGTTTGCAATGGCGCAGGTGCATCTACTCTTTGTGTTCTCTCAAACTCTAATCTTCTGTATTCTTCATGTCCTTTATTTTCTTTCGAAATTTATTTCCCAGATTATACTCTTTGAATAACATTTTCAAACCCTAATGTTTCCGATGGCTGCCTATACTTTTACTACCTTTACCATTTTGGGATTGAAATCGACAATTTTATCGGTGTGCTAATTTGGTATGGCAACTCGAACTGATGTACGTACGTTCTATGTCGTTACTGACTGACTAACTGAATATGATTGCATGTTATCCTTGTTTTAACGAATACACACTGCTGAGGATTCCCACAATAGGATGAAACAACCGTGCAGTGCTTCTTGGTTTTCCATAGTGGTCTAGCTTCAATTGTCTCATGAATTCAACTATTAAAATTGAATGTAATTATTAATCTTTAATTTTGATTGGCCTGAATTTTTTAACCAATTAGAATTGAGAATATGATTTATCCTAGTGAATCAATGAACCAATCAAAATGAAGAATTGTGCGAACAGTACCAAGACTATATATATATACATCTATATATATATAGAGATGTAGTACTATTTTTGTAATGATGCCATTTTAGAAGTGGCCTATTTACATCTATTTCCCAAATACTGATCTCTATCATGATTACATGATTACATAACACTGATTACATAATTTTGATCATTTCTAAATCAATTCTATTACAAATTATTCTATGAAAAGAAAAGAAAGACAAGACAATAATAAACATTAAATGAAAAAGAAAATTCAAGGATATAATTATTACATTTATGTAGAACAATTTCATTAATAGAATAGGTGAGTTGTTGTCGTTGTTGTTGTTGTTCCATATTTATGCAAGTGTACGTGTGTGTGTATGTAATTTCAGTTATTCAAATACATAACTATTGGTACCAAAGGGTACTAAAGATATATATCTCACTTGATTTGTGTGTAAACTGGGATACTGACCAGGTGCTCAAAGTGAAGCAGGTGGTTTTCTAAGGGGGCCACAACACGAGTCTTCAACCTAAAGATATGAACCACAAGGTAAGGAGATGTAGTCCTATAGTAGTCGATAACCAACTATTAGTTCATACATCATTTGTTCTTTCAGGATCCTGGTAGCCCATATGCATTATTGGTTTGAAATCAGGGTTTTCTAACTGTCCTATGTGGATCCTCTATATAGACCAACTTGATTATCTATTTTTGATTTTCGATATATACTACTTTTAAACGTTCCATTCCATCTTCTTGTTTACAAGTTTTCGACAAATAGGATGATAAATCAATGAATGAAGTTATATCTTCCATTCATACAGATATCATCTAAATGGTGGGAACAATTTTCATTCGTAGGCAAACTATTTTCTAGTTTTGTCAGTAAAACAAGATCTAGTCAAGAAAGAAATGATCTCAATGATGAATCCATTTCAACTCTATTGAGATTGTCTTTAAAATTCATTGCTTAGCTGAAAATATTCCAGTCTTTATATTTCATTGTTCAATGCATATATTGATTATTTATTATTTATTTTAACACATAAGTATAGGTACAGGGAGGCACCAAATACATATGCGCCACACAAATCAAAATTGATTTGTGTGAGGGCTGTGATACTGCTCGGGTGCCCAAACCGAAGCAGGTGGTTTTCTTAGGGGGCCACACCCCCGCCACGAGTAGGCAGTGAGTAGGACTTTCCTGGCAGAGGCTATATACGCATGGCCATGTGAGAGCATTTCGAGAGGGAGAGTGGACTCTCCCCACTCTCGGCCGTACCAGGGCATTTGGGGGCTGCATATATTGATGAATAAAGATGTAACATGGAAAGGTATCATGAATAGATTGTTCAACTACTAGATCATTTATTTAGTTCATAAATCAATATCCATCTACTTGGTCAGTTTAATTTGGATATACAAAGTAAACTCTTTCAAAGGGTATCACTGAATATATCACCCTACCTAGTCTATCTATAAAAAAAAAGAAGAAAACTACTGACTAATACTACAAAAAAAAAGAAAGTTTAATCCTGATCACTTATGCTTCATCTAAATAGATTTTATATTAGCCATTGGATTATGATCTAACTTCTTTTCCATATATACAATATTTGTAAACGATTAATGATATGATACTACTTCAACTTTTTATCATTCTATTTTACTATAGAGTATTATTTACTAGTAAATAATAGTCTATAAGAGAAACAATTGTACAGTTTAAGGAAATGAAATCATTGAAAAAGAAAAGTTTTCACTTTGTCAATTATCTCTTAATGCCATGATATGATCGAGAGTGAGGAGAGTCAAATCTCCATCTCCAAACGATTGCACATGGCCACGTACATACAACCACTAACAGTGAAGTCTTACTCACTACCTTCTCGAGGTGAAAGCATTATTTACGAAATTGAAAGAACAAAAAATGAATGTCCGATAGAGGTTTTTAACTGGTTTGGTGGATATGGAGTATCTATTTCATTCTAAACCAATGATGGATATGGGTCACCAAGATCTTAAGGAAACAAATGATGTATGAACCAATAGTTTGTCACCGACTACTATGGGACTACATCTCCTTATGTCACTCTATTTCCTTGTGAATCAGACCTTTAGGTTGAAGGCTCGTGTTATGGCACTCTAAGGAAATCACCTATTTCATTTTGGTTACCTGGAAAGTATCTTAGTCCATATACAAATCAAATGACTTGTGTGACGCAGATATCTATTCGGTACCCCCTTTGTACCAACATTTATATCTATTTAAATAAATCATTATTATTAATAGTTACCAACACAGAAATATGATAACAGTATAGATTATGATTTAAGATTTACATTTTTTTGTTTTTCATTTTGACCAAGATAAATTATCTTTTTGACATTTAAGATGAAAACTAGATTTATGATCGAATTAAGACTGGAAAGAAAAGAGGTTTGTTAAATAAGTATGAACTTGTTTGTGTGTTTGTTTGTTTGTTTGTTCAAAGAAAGTATGATAAATCATGCATGGTATTTCCAATGGAGTATAGGCTGCATAAATGATACAGCTGTCGTTAATATAATGACAGGTATATATTGAATTTTATAGCATTAACTTATTACGTACACCTGTTAACCCTCGTGAAGGAGTATAGGTTCAGCATCAACACTCTCTATTCAATCTTATCCTCAGCAATTTTTTTCCTAGTTAGTTTCAATTATTATTCATCGTTTTAATGTGTGTTTCCAATTCTTAGAGTAGTATGTTCTTTGGCTTTTCTCTTTTTTTTTCTATTCCCCATTCAGAATTCCAAGTTAGGGCTTGCCTCATGACAACATATCAAACTATATATTTCATTTTACTTCAGTCATTATTATTATTATTATTAATTATCAAGTGTTAGGTTTGTTATATTGGGTGTTAAATGAAACTCCAATTATGTAAGAAACTATTATTAATAGTAATATAGTATGTGCTGCTGATGTCGACAAATTATAAGTAGTATGTATCATCCACAAAGAGATAGTAGAATGCCTGGCAGTAGAAGGTTAAGAAGATCGAAGAAAAGAGAACGAGAACAGAGAATGTTTAGTGTGGAAATGAAAGAACAATGATTATTGTAAGATTCTTAGATTTTACAAAGTGATTCTGTAATTATGTATTTCAATACATTCGATTGTTCTACCTTATGTTCTCGTTTACTATAATAATACACGTTGGTTAGTTCTATGAAACCGCTAAATTTTGCTGAAACAGTTAAATTCAAACGTGAAATTTCATTAATTGGAAGTTGACTGACTGAAATCAATATCAAGGTATCATGACAACAAACCTGTTTGGTGTGATTTCTTTACTCCAAAATAAAAAAAATATTACTGACAATCCTATTAATCTGTATAAACAATAATAGTCCAATGATATTTTAAGCCAAAGAATAAACAATGTTGATTCATCTGAGTGTATTGTAGTCAGCAATTGCGGTTACGTTTTTGTTTATTTAGTTAATCGATCAATCAGTTCATGATCTCGATCAAAAACTTAATAATCTCTACAACCCCTATACTGATAATTTCCGCGTAATCACTAGTGACTAGCTTCGTGAGGGAATTCTCGAAGTTACAGTGAGAAGCCGTGATCAGTGGAGCTAACCCGAGACAGTTATTTACCTCAGTACAATAGAAGATGATCGCACAATTTCGTGGATTGGTTGAGGTTAGATATTAACACCATTGAATACCGGCTGGCTAAGTGGTCCAGTAGGTTAAGTGTTCACGCGCGAGATCGAAGGTCCTGGGTTCGTGGATGTGCATTGCTAAGTAGTCCCACAATAGAACGAAACAGCCGCCCAGTGCTTTCAGGTTTTCAGTGGTGGTCTAACATCAATCGGTTCATGATCTCAATCAAACGCATAATAATCTCCACAACCCCTATACTGATAATCAGTTTTAATCTTTCTTCTACTATGGCTAAGTGTCCCACACTTAACATGTTCGTAACATGATGGAATGATATTTTCGCCATAGAAAACATTTCTTTAATTTTAACCAGCATAAATGACAGAGAACGAAACAATCCCTTCATTATATATTACAATAGTGTAAATAATAATAATAATTCTCCCTTCATTTTGGTTGGTTGTCAGGTGCAAGGTTAAAATTGAGAACAAAAGTGGAGTTTATCGGTGAGATTATAATTTATCGATGATCTTTGAGCGACACCAAAGTGACCTCGAGAATGTCTACCTATTTACTAAGGCTTAATGAGAGTTATAAACCTGTGTGAAGAATGATGATGACGAATTACAGTTGATGATTAGGGTTAAGAATTAGATTTAAAGTTTTCAACACGAACTGACATGAGCTAAAATATTATGACGCTATTTGGCTAAATGGGTGACTGAAATGCGCGCCGAAATTCAAGATCTACTATCTTCAATCTGATTGATTCGTCTATAAGTTTTAATCTCACCAATATGTATTTATCATTTAACCATGTAGTCTGCTTCAAGTTTCTGTTTACGAAAGATCCTCATTGAGAAAGAATAAAAACAATAAACAGAGTTATTTATTTATTGAAACACATAAATGTTGGTACAAGAAGGCACCAAATAGATATGCGTCACACAAATCATTGGATGTGCGTGAGGGTTGGGATATTGTCCGGGTGCTCAAACCGTTGTAAGTGGTTTTCTTACTAAGCGATAATCAGAGCCTTCGACTTGGGGAGGTAGTTGAACAATGTTGGGATATGCAATCACATGGTAGGCGATGACCAACAATAGGTTCATACGTCATTTGTTTCCTTAAGATCATGGTAGTCCATATGCTCCATTGTTTTAAAATGAGGGTTTTTTAACTTCTATAGGTGGATTTTCCATATCCACCAACCCGCTTAAATCACCAGACATTCTTCTTCAATCCTCTTGATTTCGTAAACAACACCCTCACCGTGAGAACAAAGTGAATAGGACTTCTCTGTCAGTGGTTGTATTTACATGGTTATTAAGAGATAGAACCTGACGCTCTTTACTCTCGATTGTATTAGGGCATTAGAGGGATAATGATACAGTTTCAAAGATGATGAAATAAACAAATATTGAATTAAAACTGATAGAAAGAAATTAATTTGCATTTTAATATTATAACTGATATCAGTTTATGATGAAAACCCTAACGATAAATCTTTACATTAATATATAACCCTTTTGTAACTCTAGTCAATAGGTAGGTTTCATGAAGATCAATTCAACATAACTCAAAGATCAATCCAAACATTGGTGAATATGAAACAAAGATGGATAGTGGCTAACAGTGAAATCCAGGATGAGCGT